AAAAAAAAAAGAAAAAAAAAAAATATATATATATATTAGGGGAAAAAGGGTGGAGAGGAAAGGCTGGGACTGTAACTCACTGAGAAGGCTGGGTTTGATCCTCAGTATCACACAAAAAAAGAACTCTTCCCTCTATAGTATATACAGTCCCTGCCCAGGAAACATCTTAATTCTGATGTAATTATGGTGAGAATCAAGAACATAGTTGTTTTTGAGGCAGGGTCCTACTGTGTAGTTCGAGCTGGCCTTGAACTCAATAGCGGCCCTCCTGCCTCAGTCTCCTGATGAAAAATGTGGTTTTACCAATGTCAATTTCCTTGTTTTCTGTGTTGTCTTCCCCACTTTAAAGTCACCCAACAGCCCCAAAAGACATCTGCCCCAAAGCCCAAACAACTGGAGAGAAAACCTGGACAGAGAAAGCAAAGGAGAATGGAACTGCTGTTTTCTTCATCAGGAAAACAGAAAACCATGAATCAAATGATGGGCTCAATGGAGAAGGCTATAGGTCATGTGCTTTCAGCCATCTCTCCCCATATGTAAGGTCGGTCAGTTGAGCTATAAAAACTACCTCCCCCTCCCATAAGCCTATCTCCCGCTCTAATCTACAGTCTTCCCAAAAGCTGCGGAGAAGGCAGCTGAGAACACATTGTTTTTTCATGTTGATTATTTTGAAGTCAGAACTTAGCCCTGACTGAATCTGAGTGGAACAGAATCAACCCAAGCCCAGCTTCTGAGAAATGCCCAGACCCTTTGGAAACTGGACTGTCAGAGGAAGCATGCGTTGGACACGCTCCACAGCACAGACTGTCTGCACGGTCTCTTTCTTCCTCCTTACCATCTTTTCTTTTCATATTTTTCCTGGAGAAACTCCTTCACCTTCTGGGGATCCCTGGAATCTGGTATTAAAGATGTCCGAGCATCAAAAAGACCCAGCCAGATCTTCCTGCAGACCTGAAGGAACAGAACCAGGCCACAGAGGAGTTGGAGAAGAAAGCATGAAATATGAACAGTGTATCATTCCCCAGGATGCCGCTGTCAATGTTTCCATCAATAAAGATTTATTGAGCTTGAACACAGTGCTCGGATGTAGATATATGAGGTATGACAAAAAGATATGGTAAATGTTTAACTTTTCAAAACTGTACTCCAGTGAAAGACACACTGTCACCGGTCTTCCTCAGAATGCTCCCCCTCACTCTGAACACATCGCGTTGTTCTTGACACTTTTCGAAGCGGTTCTGGAATCCTCCTTCGTGAGTGTCTGTAGTTGTGCAGTTGTGGCTGCATTGATGTCCCCAATCAATTAAAAAATGCTTGCCTTCCATGGTCATTTTGACTTCGGGGAAGAGCAAGAAGTCACACAGTGCCAGATGGAGTGAAAAAGGTAATGTGGACCCCGTTGTGTTTTTATGAGCCTGCCTTTCCGCTGATGGCGCTGGACAGCAGCAGTCACTGGATATTTTGTTTTTTAAATCACACGGAATAAAAACATGAACTTCAGAAAGTGGCAAGAGTGATGGGATAAGAAGTGAGGGGGCATTCTGAGGGGAGCGCACGGCAATGTTTCTTTTACTGTAATAAATTTTTTAAAAATGTAAACATTCACTGTATAGTTTGATCACACCTGTTACCTACAAATCAGACTCCATCCTCACAGAGTTTCTAATCTAATGGGGTGGTCTGTGCCTTAGACAAGTCAAGATAAATTTATAATTACATATCGTTATGCATATTGAAAAAGGAAAGAAAGAGCTCTGAGAATTAAAGAGAACTGGTTTGGAAGGGGATGGGGTCAGGGACAATTCTCTGAGCCCTCGATGTGACACTGTAAGTAACCCAAGGACAGTAACTTCCAATCAGCAGAGTTAGCTGGGGAAGGGCTTTAACTTACTTTCAAGTAAATGACAGATGTAAATCCACATAATCAAGCCTCAAGGGAGTGGAGCCATCCCCAGCTCCAGTCTGGGATGGGCCCAGCCAGTGTCTCTGAATGGGCATCAGTGCAGACTTCTAACCACTTCCCTGAGTGCCCAGGGACCACCCTACAAAGATGTTGATCTTCTTTTGATCCTTCATAAAAGGGTATATAGACAAACCACATTTGTATAATTGAGGTTCTGTAGGTAGATAATCAAATACACATAAGATAAGAAATCTCATCTACTAGCTGGGCGTGGTGGTGTACACCTGTGATCCCAGCACTCTGGTAGGCTGAAGCAGGAGAATCCCAAATTCAAATGCTGCCTGAGAAACTTAGTGAGACTCTGTTTTGAAATAAAAAAAATAAAAATAGCAGAGCAGTGGCTTAGTGCAAAGGCCCTGGATTCAATCCCCAGTGCCCAACAAACGAAACCAAAAAAATCTCATATAGTAAAAAATTAAGAGAAACTCAACCCCAGAAGAAAACTATGGGGTTTTCTAAGATACTGAGGAAAAGCTCTGCTGGCAGGCAGGGCAACAGCAGCTTTCTGATGCCCCCCACCCCCGAGGGGCAGCTCACCTCATTTCCACGAGACTGCAGGAATACTACCTCAGGCTCCGTGAAAGTTGTCATGGAGATGGACTTGACCCGATGAGGGGGGTTCAGGCCTCTCCTGTGGAAGGGAGAGAAAGCAAGAGAAGTAAAACAGGGTTAGCGCCTTGGCTCTAATTTACAGGAGGAAGGAGAGAAAGACAGCACATAAACCAGGCTGGAAGGAGAGACCCCAACCCAGGGCTGGGCTGCTCCACCCAGTGGTAGAGCGCTTGCTTAGTGTGTGCAAGGCCCTGGGTTCCATCCTGGGCACCTCGAGCTACTTCTTCATTCCAGGAAAGAAGGGGAAACAGATGTTTTGGAGATTCCAATGAGACAGGAAGAAAGCCACAGACTCCAGTGCTGGCTCATTTTACGCAGGCAGGGAAGGCACAGCCTGCCCTCCAGAGGCTTCCTGCCTGGCTCACATCCCAGCCGGTGCACTGTTCACGTACAGGCCAAGGGGCTACTTCTGGCCCCTCAGAAACACACCCTACTTCCTGTTAAATCATTGTTTTAGACCTGTAGCACATCCTGAGGTCCCATAGCCATGAAAACACAAATTTCTCGCGAATAAGGGAAGGGAAAAATGTAGGCCCAAAAGGATTCTTGATAACACTAACAAAGACAGGAGATGGTGAACATAAATAGAATCCTAAGGCAGTTGCTTCTTTTCTTGTCTTTTAAAAGGATGGAGCGGTGAGGTACAGAAAGGATGGAGAGAGAGCCCCTTTCTTTCAATAAGTCTTTTTTTTTTTTTTTTTGGTTTAGTACTGGGAATTAAACCCAGGGCCTTCACATCTGGAGAGACATCACCAGTCCCTTTTTATTTATTTAATGTATTTATTTATATATTTGTTTAGTTTTTTGAGACAGGGTCTCACTTTATAGTTCAGGCTGGCCCTGAACTCAGTAGTTCTGCCTCTGCCTCCCAAGTGCTGGGATTATACAGGCATGAGCCCCCATGCCTTTTTTCTTTTGAGACAGGGTTTCACAACATCGCTAAATCGTGCAGACTAGGCTGGAACTCATGACCCTCCTGCCTCAGCTTCACATGGTGCTGGGGTTACAGGCACGCAGCACTATACCCAGCTAAGAAGTCATTTTAAAGAAATGTTCCTGGCAGGCTTTCTTCTTTTCATGTGTAGATTTTTCAATAAAGCAGGAAGAGATCAAGTCCAACCATGAGCCATGAGAAGACCTAGGCCAGGAATACAGATCTTGTCACGACGCTTTTGCGCCTGCTCTGCACGTTCTGTTACCTCTCTGGAGCCCAGTTCTGCCCACAGGACGCAGGCAGAGACAAGAGCAGAAAAGAAGGCTTCCCCGCCTCCATGCACTGGTCTCTGGAGTCTCTATCCTAACAGGGGAACCTGGGGCTAAACCTGGTGGGGTTGAAGTGATTTTACCGGGGATCGAACTGAGGTCCTTGGTCCTTGCACTTGAGAGGCAGGTGGTGGAACCACTGTGCTAAATCCCCAGCCCTGTGATTTTTCTTTCTTACCCCTTAAGGTTTACTCTGGTCTGGAGCAACTGCCCTTCAATTAAAACTGGCTAAACCTTGCCAGGCGTGGTGGCTCACATCTGTAATCCCAGCACTTGGGAGGCTGAGGCAGGAGGATCGCTGTGAGTTTGAGACCAGCCTGGGCTATGTAGTGAGTTCCAGGTCAGTCTCAACTACATAGTGAGACCCTGTCTCAAAAAAACAAACAAACAAAAACAACAACAACAACAAAAAACTGGCTAAACCTAAATGTTATTATGGCTGTGCCTAGGTGTCCCTCGCAAAGCCTCAGGTGGTCATAGGTGAGGCTTTCTCAGAGGTGGCTGGATCTAGAGTGTGTGATCTGGAATCGATTCAGGGTGCAATGCTAGGCTCTAGGGCACCAGGATTAAAGGTGTGCGTGGTCCCCGCCCTAAATTGCCTGGATTAGATAAAAGGGGCAGAAAGATGGTGTTAAGGCCCCTTGTTGCTTTTGTCAACTTGTGGGTGCCAGGAACTGTGTCTCCTCTGTGATGCCTCTGTGCCAAGCCACCCTGCCTTGGAGCCAGCCCATTATGGACTGAAACCTCTACAAACGGTGGGCTAAATATACCCTTCTCCCTTTAACTTTGGGTGCCGGGTATTTTGTCTCAGCAACAAGAAAAAAGTAACCAAGATCACAGGCACATGCAGGGAAGACAGTATCAGCTGATAAGGACTCTTCTTCGAACTTTTAAAAACTGGGCAAATCTAGATGTTAAAATTATAGTCAGCCCTCCATATCCATGAGATCTGCAGCCATGGAATCAACCATCCATGGACAGAAAGTATCTGGGGAAAATCTGCATCTGTACTGAACACATACAGACTTTTTTTTTCCTCTGTCATATTCCCTAATAACAACTATTTACATAGGGAACATTTACATTATAAATAGTCCAGACAGCATTTGAAGTACACGGGAAGAGCCTGGTACGGTGGTGCATGTCTGTAATCCTAGCACTCTGGGAAGCTGAGGCAGGAAGATCGCAAGTTCAAGCCCAGCTTGGGCTATTTAATGAGACTGTCTCAAAATAAAAAATAGAAAGGTCTAGGGATGTCGCTCAATGTCAAGGCCCTGAGTTCAATCTCCAGTACTGCCCAAAACAAAACAAAACAAAACGATGTGCGAAGTAAACACCACACCATTTTTATATAAAGGACTTGGCCATCATGGATTTGGAGCAGAGGTGTTAGAACCAATCCCCTCAAAGATACCCAGGGATGACTGAGTCTGGAATAGGGTCTTGGCTGATGTCTTCAGGAAAACAAAGGGGGAATAAAGAGATGATATTTTCCAAACCAAAATCCTAAATATCCAGAAAGGCCAGGAAAAACACACACTCATTCACACACACAAGGGCACACGTAAACAAAGGTGCTTCTGCCAGGTCTGGAGAAGAGCAGCACACATGTTGGTGTAAGTGACAGCAGAGAGGGGGCAGGGGGTCGGGACAGATGACACAGTACGAGTGAACAGCCGCTCTGGCATGACAAATTAATTAGTCATTAAGGGAATCTAACAAAGGATGGGACAGGCAGGCTCCGTTCCAGGTTGTTTTCAATAATTCTGCTGCTAGACTTTTAAGTGAAAGGTCTCTGAGATGCCTTTAGAAAAGACAAGTAACATCAGAGAGGTCTGATGCCCTATGGAAAGCTAAAAGCAGGGAAACCAAAAGCAAGCTTTGGTCCTCCATACCAGACAATAGCTCTTAACTATTGCATGCCCTGAACTCTCTTCTGATCCTGTTTCCCAGATAGTCCAGTTTTCTCTCCCAAAACTTCTCTGGCTAATGGCTCTATTAGGTTTGTCTTTAATTCCAGTCTGCTCTCCTACTCTTTCCATTGCTCTTTGTCACCACAACCCCAGGTTCTCCCCTCTCTAATGCCAGGCCTTCCTGAGGCCTGGTCAGAGTCGCCTCACTGTCCCTAGACAGTGGTCCTCTCCCTCACCGCCTACTACTAAATGTTTACTTTGCCAAACAAAAGACCTCTTATGGGAGGCACTTCGGGGGTTGCGAAAATGACAGGACTTCATCTCTGACCGCAGGGGCTTATGTGGAGAACCCTGAAGTCCCCCCAGGGCGCTTCTCCCTCAGTGTGGGGGGTCATTCCGGCTGACACTGACGGATCAGGAAGAATCTGGCTTCTGGATGCAGCATCCAGGGAGGGAAGAGAAGCTGTCACAGGAATGGCAAAACCTGTTCTGTTTATAGGAGAACAACGGATCCTAAGCCTATGGCAAGAAGGTCATTGACATTTCCTGAAAGGACAGGAAGAACTGTTAGCAAAGTGTAAACAGGGAGGCACGCTTCCTTCTTGGCGGGGGGGCACTCACCCAGACAGCAATCAAAAGGGGCCGCTAGAACAACAGTTTCTTATGACTTGACTGGAGGCTTTTTCAGGGGGCTAGGAAATGATAGGGCAAAAGGGAAGGCAGAGAAAGTAAGAAGTGATTTAAGTGCCGTGGGCCAAATGAATGTGATAGAACAGGATGTTTCCACAGCACAGTACAAACAGCCTTGCTCTGACCTTGGTGTCTGTAGGCTGGATTATGTATAACCAGAGTCACGGTCTGGGGGCAGGGAGGATTCTGACAAGGCAACACACTGCAGCCCAGGAAGAGGGCCTAGTTGCAGGGCCTGTGAGTCAGACTATTGCTTTCTGAATCATAAGGACACCATTACTGGCAGAGAGAAGCAATTTAGAAACCAGCCGGCCCCTGCCAGCAGCTGACAGCAAATGGTCTAGGTGTGTTGTGCTTTGTGGGTACACCAGGGTCACACCTCGGGCCAGATGTGAGTCACTGGCCTGGTATTCAACAGACCCAACCCTTGGACGTGCACCTCGTGTCCCCAACTGCCAGCTTCTTCCCAACAGAAAGTCAGAGGGAGGCATTGCCTTTCAGATATCACAACAAATCCATTTTGCCAGTTTTTTACTCAGGAGGTGCTAGGGAATTACAGGGATGAATGTATTTGCCCAGAATAGAGCCAGTTTTTCCATTCAAAAGCAAGTGCGTTACTAGGACTCAGGCCTTAAATCAGTCCACTTCCTTTTTATCTCCTTTCATTTCTTTTTCATTGGGCACGTAACAGCAGTTGAAGTACTGTGCTGTGAAATACCAGGCCAGGGGAGCCTGATTCTCTCTCCCCCTTCCTCTTGGTTCTATTAATCACACAACTATGTCCATAAATACCACGCCTTTTATTTTTCTGTGGTTATCACCTTCAAGCTGGCCTATATTCTGCTTCTATCTCGCTTCATAAAAACATCAAACCTGCTCAGCTGCTCAGATAAGAAGGTTTTGCCAGGTCAACAGTGGAAAAAAACCAGTTCCACCCAGCACCCAAGTTCTTTTATTTGTGCCAAATTTGCACTTGGGAGTTCTTTGCCTTGAATATGTGTGCTCAGATTTGTACACCCTAGATTGCATCTTTGCATCTGGGTTCCTACTCCTAGGCCCATCACTTTCGCCTGCTCTTTTCTCGGGGCTCAAACCACTTTTTTTTTTGGTTTTTTGAGACAGGGTCTCACTATGTAGCTGAGACTGACCTGGA